CTATATTTATTTCTTCGCTGACTATTCAGGTTTTCCCTTTTGTGACACACCTATTCATGTCTGCTGCCAATTTCCAATTCTCCTTTGGAAACGTGGAATTTTGTCTTTACTATCCTGGACGTCAGTGCTCTGTGGATTATATACGTGCAACAACACCTGGGCTTTACCATTTCACCTCTTCTAAGCTGTCCTATAGGGCTACAAATCTTTACCTTCAACGCGGTTGAATGTATCAGTCTTTTGTAGTATGGTTAATGCATTTTTGGAGGTGTTTAATAAACACAAAATCATATAAATATTCTCTTAATTTTTAAAAAAGTTAGTGTTTTTCTTTTCACGTATGAGGCCTGAATTGTCTTTGGTGTGAGGTAGGGATCGGATTCGCTCCTTGTTCCATATGGATAACTAGTAACACTAGAACCATTAATTACACAGGCCACTTTCTTCCCACTGACTTGTGGCTCTATGAGCTGAAATATTTCACATTTTCATATATGCTTGAATCCATCTAATGATCTCTTTCTAACCTCACTGGTCAATTCCTCCGTCCCAGTGCCAATCCTACATTCTAGCTGCTACAGCCCTGCCAGGCTTAAGGGAAACCCTGCTTTCTTCTCCCTTCCCTCCTCCTGTTTTCTCGGTATCTCATCAACCCCAGCCTTTGCTTCAAATAAATTTAGGAATCAGATGTCCAATTCTACAAAAAAACTCTGGGGTGATTTGCATTGGAATAGCATCAAATCTACCTGGCAATATGGGGAAAACTGACATTTTTACAATATTACTTCTTCCTATTAATGCATGATGGTCTCTCATCTTGTCTTTTTTAATGTCTTTGTTCAAGTTTTTAAGTATTTCCATGGATATTTCAAGTCCCTTTATTTTTGTCAGATTTTCCCCACTAGGTGCCTTTTATAAAGTTTTTGTTGTTAGCATAAAGTGGGAACTTTTCAAATACTGAGTGATCTACTTTGATGGTTCTAAAATTTTAAATCCACAAAACACTAAAAAATTACTTCTGCTCCAGTTACTTATCACACTTTGCAACTCCCTTACAGTAACCACTTTTAATCTTCTATCTTTTCAAAGTTTTTTTTTCCTTTGTGTTTACCCTTGAAATTTTACTATATGTATTTAACAAAGACAAAAAGTTAAAATTGTAATTCCCCAAAAATAGAAATTTAAACCAATACCTCCAGACATTGCTGTATGTAGGTATGTCGGCATTTTGTCCATTTTGACAGCCCTCCTCTGTGACTTTTTTCTTCCTACAGCATTCTCAATAAGGTGCATTAGAGAAGGAGCACTGGTGAACACCATCCTTGTTTATCAGACTCATTCTTGAGAGACAGCTTGCTGAGCTCACCAATCTGGCTTCTTCCTCTCAGCACTCTGGAGCTCAGACAAAGCAACTGTGGAGAGACACAGACTTCTGGTTCTGGTTCCAAAACTTTCGAGGGAGGGTTTGGTAGAGTGCAAAAAGACTGCTCAGAGTGAGGGGACTCAGTGCCAAGTGTTAGAGAGGTGTTCTCTTTGGTTCCTGACACCTCTGTCAACCTTTTGGCCTGGTTAAGCCTCCCCTCTTCAGAGGATGCCTCCCGGGCCCACAAAGCCCACAGGCATCACCTGTGCCTCACAGAGCTCCCAGAGCTGGAGATCTGCCTATTCTGGTTTCATTTGACCAAAAGCTGCTTAAAAATGTTTTCATAAAATTAGTTTTAAATTACTCAACATTTTCATAGGATTTCGTTCTCAGCTTCTTCCCACCATCATATGGACTGTATACCACACATTGCATATAATTGAGGTGTTCCCAGTTTCTGAAGTAATCTAACTTAATTTATTAAGGGAAACCAGAAAAATCTATGCATAGTAAGCAAAACACATTTTGGTAGTATTATGATGAAATTATAGCAATATAAGTTTTACCTTTGTGATTCCTTTTTTTTTTTTTTAATATTTAAGTCATCTCTACATCTAACATGGGCCCAAACTCATGACCCTGTGATCATAAGTCACATGCTCTTCCAACTGAGCCCCATCTTCATGATTCTTTATGCTAACAGATGAAATTTTAAAATGTAACTGAAGATGTAATTGTGAAATGTGGACAATAATCACAGGTTTCTAAAGACTAAGGTAAGAAAAATAAGTAATCAGTGAATTTCCACCCTCTGGGGACTGAATAAAGGCAGTGAGCCCTACCAGTCTGAAGAGGGTACCCTGGCAAGCTGTGTATGAACATCTCCTGAGGTTCCTGCACCCGCCAAAACGCTCTGCTCACGGGGTAGCAACGAATGGTGACCACGCAGCCACCACCAATTCAGACGCATATTCTCTCACAGGGGATGAACGGGGCCTACTTTCTGCAACTGCAATTTTTTAAAACTTTTGAACAAGCTTAACTGTAGTAAGAACAGGACAAGCGTCTTATAAAACTCTGATGAACTTTGACAAGCACCTGCATTATATCAAAGTGTTAACTCCCTCCAGAAATTGTCGGGGCAGTGATGCTGGAATGGAGAAGCATTAATTACGTGTCACTTAACGTTAGCCTAACAGACAGGAAATAGAACACAACCGATCTTTTAAGTCTAAAGTTAAAATTTTTCAAGTGGGCAGTTCTATAATTTGTTTCTACATCACTGTGGTGTTTAGTAGCCGTTAACAATATTTCATCAAAGCAAAACATTTAAAAAAAATAAGTAAAATAATAAAAAAAGAGAGTCCTAATAAAATAAAACTTTGACAATAGTGATTAAGGAACGTGGATTTTTAATGAATTTCATATTGCAATGAAGACAGTCAACACTTAAAAACAATTACATCAATACATTAAAAACACTTGCTTCTACACAACACTTATAAATGCATACTTCCCCCAAAGAAACTTATTTTTCACAGATTTAAGCAACAAATGATTTACATAGGATTCTTCAAATTCCAAAATATGTACAGAATTTTTGTCTCTCCAGAAACTGATGTGCAGTGGTTTGAGAAAGAGTGCTGTTTTGTCCAACAACATAGTTCTTACGAGATTCTCTATCAATACACATTTTCCAGTAACCACACATTTCCCTTCCATTAAAAATGAAATTCTGGACATGTGAGCACATAGGACAAAACCACTCTCATTTCCAAACACTATTTCAGATGAGATCACGTGTGGCTGATCACATGGCTTAATTTCAGCCACACAGGTACATCCATGCACACAGACTCACACACATTCACACACACGCACACACATCCACGCACACACATGCACTCCCTATCCCAAATCTCCATGACTCCTGAAAACATCATCAAGGCCACAGCGGCAGCTGAACGGAACCATGTCCGAGGACAACACGGTGGTTAGCAGTAGGGTGTCCTGCTCCTGGAACCGCACGCAAACACCATGAGGCCCGTGCCCCCGTGGAGAGGTGAGGAGGGAGGAGGCCGGCCCCTCCCGCTAGCGAAAAGGTCAGCAGCTGCTGGACACGGAGGGCACTAGTCTGCAGAGAACTGAATAGCATCAGAAATGTTGAGTTAAAAGCTTCAAATTTTTTTAATCTGGCAGAGATCTGGTTCTTAAGTTTGATTTCGCTGTGTCTGTATACATTTTTCAATGTTCCTAACAATGACTCTAAGACACTCAGACATTCAAATTAAAATACAACAGGAGCCCAAGAGTGTGGACGCACAGCTCAGCGTCCGAAGTCACCGGCGCTCTGCTGCCGGGGGGCATGGTGCACTCGGGTCGGCAGGGGCTGGACACTGACGTTCTGGCCCACATTCTCAGGTGTGGTGCGGGGAGATGCCAGGCTTTGGAAAGAGAGCTGCTCTGAAGCATTTGTTGTTTGTCCTCTAGTCTTTAGCTGGCAACCTCAGCTCTAACTACATCATGATGGGTTTTTCCTGGCCCTTCTTCCCTTCCAGACTGTAAGTCATTTCAGACTCATTCCAAATAGTTCAGGGCTGAAGCTACTAAGATGAGCTACCGCACAGAGGACCTGAGCAAAAGGAGCCTCGAGAGAGGCGCATTCACATAGGACTGCAGACAGCCCACACACTCTGCTCACACCACACCCTGCCAAACGGCACTCCACCAGCGGTCACCACTGGGAGGTGGGGGGCACCCATGATCATTGCCACTGTTCCCCTCTGGGCCTCTCCAAGCAGACACATTCAAAGTATTAAAATGAGGAGGGCAGTATACGGAGATGGCTCTTTGTCAAAACTGTAATTGGGCAAGAAACATGAACTCACAAACACCAGACAACAGTAACTCCTAAGAAGGCAAGAGTGGCAGGCTCGCCCAGGCCGTGGGAGGACTGGCGCTGAGAGGTGTCCCAGCTGCCGAAACAGGAGCATCCTGTACCCTGCGAAGAATGGTTTCCGCTACCACCTTATCAGCCAATGCGAGAGCTCTCGTCCTCAGGATACATTTGCTATGATTGTCTTTCTTGTCTTCTGAACTGAATTCGGCAGTCAAAAGTGCTCTAGCTAGGCAACAGTGAGACTCCCACGTTTTCCAAATACATTGATTTTTGAGGTAGTACTCATTTATTTGCATTGTTGGCTCTCAAACACCACCAAGGAAGTGAACCCATTTAGAAATACACAAACCAAAGTGTAGAAAATAAATAAGGTTTTGTTTTCAGGTAGCAGGCAGGGCCTTCTTTACAAGCTCAAGTCACATTCACTGGATAAGTCATTTGAAATTTCTAAAAACTGTTTATAACCATAGCTATAAACTAAAGTGCTTTAAATTTTGCTTAGTATCTGAAATCAGTGATTGGAATCGTATTTTTGAATTTGCTAATATGAGACCTCAGGAGATTGACATGATTTTCTATAAAAAGAGCAGAAACTTTTCCTTTTCAAAAAAAAAAAACTTTCCAAATGTTGCAAAGTTGGCACTCTGTTATTAACTTCTCGATTCCAGGTAAATTTTACACAACTATACCAGAATATGGAGTTGAAGCTGAATTACACCACAGCACATGCTAAACCCTCAGACGGAAGTAAACATGAAATCTCTCATCACACCTGCCAATCGCCAGCCAACGCAGATGCAGCTCCATGACCTTCCCGGGACAAGGTAGATGTGTAAGATGATTCCAGAAATGCCACAGACTGCTTATGCCTCACAGTAAGTACACGGGTTCACACTGAACTCCGCAAACGTAATGCCCTCCTGTCATCTGTCGAACGCCAGGAACTCACAACACACAACGTGCTACAGGGAAGGGGGCTTCATGTCCACTGACCAGAGGGTGCCAACACACACACAAGATGAAAATAAGACATGTGACCATACATTTTGCTGTACATTTCATGCAAGCTCGGCACAATGAGAAAAGAACATACAAACCACCCTTTCCAGGGTGCAACTCTCACAAAAAGGGCTTGATGAGTAGGAGAAAAGCGACTCCAGTCCATAGGTCCATGGTGAACTACGCAGCTAAGGACGCCGGCGACCTTATTTCTCTTGTAACAATGCAGGGATGTTGATGTTCCAGCCAATGGCTTGCCTGTCAAACCCGCAGGTGAACAGATTGCACATGGGGTGGTCCTCACTCCACGCCGAGCAGCACACCATTCTTCTGTGGCCCTATTTCCAATCACACAAACCAGAATTAGTATATTATTCCCGAAGCACACATGCTATAAAACCTCAGCCAAATTAACAACTACACCACGACAGAATGGAAAGAGCACCACTTAACGGGCAGCATTAGTCAGAGTGAGCCAGAAACACTGCGCATGTGCCGTGGGGGAGTGGAGGCGAAGAGAGTGGCGTCAGAACGCGTGACGAAGTCGTGAGATTCACACCTACACCATTCCGGGGTTCTTTAAAAATGAGTGGGATTACAGTCAGAAAAAAAGAATAAATGATGAATCTGAAGTTTTTTAATGAGGCTAGATGATATTTGGGAATATATTAAATGAAACTCATTTAAAGACCTCAAAGATCATTGTAACAAATAACTGACTCAGGTAATTAAGGACCCAGAAAAATAAATTTGGTACCAAATAAAACAAGGATAAAATAAACGGCCCTCCAAGTAAATTCCTGCCACCTTCAGAATTCCAGCCATGGAAAAAATTACTGCAAAATATCAGCAAAGTTTATAGTGGGATATCCCTAGTGCATATGTAGAGAAATACGAGCAGCGCCTTAGGACGCGTGCATACACTCCAGAAACGCAGTTGGTCTAATATGCTGCTGTTACTATAGCAACACACAATAAAGTACAGGAAGTAGAATTAAGAAAAGCTCACAGAAATTCAGTAAGTAAAACAAAACACTCAAAAGAATGACACAAAAGTTCCCTCTGCTAACACTTCACATATGAACAGTGCTATCTACACATGTGAGAGAGACAACAACAGGCCACAGAATAAAGGTATTGCAAATGCAAGCCCACATCACAAAGGGTTTCAAGAGCAACATTCTATCACTTCTCTGTTAAGAACCCAAGGAAAAAGAGTGAACAACACATCTGTTAACTGGTGGTAAATTCAAGAGTCTGCGCAGGAACCAGTTAAAGATGATCAATCAACTCAAGGCATTCACGGTAGAAAGCAAATGAGTGTGTGGAAGAGACCCCGTGGCACCCAGAACAATGGTCTGTACGCACAGCTCACCCAGGACGGAGCTGGAAGCCAACTCGGGTTTGGAGTCCAGCCTCCCATCTCCCATGGATTGCCTGAGTGCGCGGGGACATGTGTGGGGCACGCATCCGAAGAGGCTCTGTGGGCACATGTGTTCTGAAAATGCTGTGCACCCACCCAGGGTCATGGCACGCATCCTGGAGAGGGTGCTGCACGCCCACCCCGGGACCCTGTGTCCTTGCCATAAAACCTCTGACACTGCGCGCAGAGCCTCCCTGCTCACTCTCTCCTAGCACTCTACAGAGCTCACCTCGCTTGAAACCCACTTTTGGGAAGTGCCACATGCACTCTCCCCAAAGTAAGACAGCTTTACACTGTTAGCCACCTTCACTCTCACTATCAAGATCAAATACGGATTGTTGTTTTCTCTGCCTCCAATCCGTCAGCTGAAGGAAGCTGGGGCGATACAAGCCAGGGATTTCCAGCTGGGGTTCTGTGACACTGGAAACGGTATCTGTGTCTCAGAAGAGGCGTTACAAGCTCAGAATGAACTGAAATGTTATTCACTACTCTTAAAAATAACTATTTAACACACCACTTTAAAAGGATATAAATCCAAGCACAACAAATTCTACAGTTTCAACAAGGCTGAAATCACCTCAGTGGAATTAGTACCACCGAGAACCTCTCTTGCAGAAAATCTTGTCAAAGTAGTGAGGTTCCACACTCACAAGACGGTGCTGTGTTTCAGGGGCAGACCTCCCATGCGGCAGGGCAACATCAGGGAACACACGGGCACATCAGGAAGAGAAGCCACCATGTTAGCGATGCCACGTGGGTGGCACACCCGAGACTCTCAGTGGGAACCAAGCATGAAAAATTCCCTTTGTTAGCGGGTGTGAAGCTCTTATCGGGTACTCTAATTTCATGAGTAGTTTCGATGATGTGTACTCAAATAAAAGTTCAATAACCCACTTCCAACAATACATGTACCAGCCCTAAAAGGGGAGAACAGATGAAACAATCCCATTTTAAGCGCAGAGGCCTTTCACAGAAAGTCGGTGCCACTTAAAGTCGTTGCCCCGCTGACAGCAGAGTCCGCCACAGTCGTCCTCCGAGACCACCCTCAGTCAAGCGTTCCTGAAGCCACAGCCCGCGCAGGGCCGGCCTGATGGTCACTGTCCGTGAGGCTGCACGCGAGGAGGACACGGGGCGTCTCCGTGAAGGTCAGCAGAGCTGCGGCCGTCAGCAGCAAGGGGGGCACAGACACCCTGACGGCAGGGTCAGGGGCCGCCCGAGGGTACTAGCTCACCCACACAGCTGTGTGCCACAGCGACACAGAAAACACCAAGGGAAGCAAAGGAGAGGGGCCGCAGGGTGAGGCTCCATCAATCACCGAGCCTACAGAGACACTGCTCCCACAGAAGGAGCCAGCCTCTCCCCACACTTCCAGTGGCCCAGGAACGAGCTACGCACAGGGGCCCAGGTGGCCCTCAAGAGATCCCGCATCAGCAGGTGTAAGCTGGTGCCACGAGCACCAACCAGTTCTCAGCACACAGAGACACCTTGGCGGGCGGTCCAGCCAGCAGAGCAGACACCAGGCTGCTCCTGGTGCATCGTCTGAGCTGCATCTACATGGGGTCCCCTTGTCCTGGACCTGCCATGGAAAGGTGTCTTCTGGTTGTGGGTGGAGGTGGGTCCACACCACGGCTTCTGTGTCACCACATTCAGTACTCCTCGCCTAACACCCTTCCGGCTGCATACTTTCACTTGCCAAGATCCGAGTTTGCTTTCCAATGTGGAAACCACTACCACACACGCAAACAGCTCCGCAAATCAGAGTAAGGAACTGAGTGTGCAATCTCAATTGACGTTTTTAAAAAACCTGACACTCTCAGTTGAGGTATTGGGAAACAGTTTCAACTTTAAATTTTATGAGCTCTAAATACAGATCAAGTATTTCCAACGAAAATCTAGCATCCAAAGACAACAGGAAAACAAGAATGCAAAATCTCTAATGCTGTTATATTGATTATAGTTGAAATTATATTATCTCGAGTATATCAGCATAAGTTAAATACACTAAAATGAGTTTCTCTTTTTTTTTTTTTAGAAAACATAAAAGGATGTGGGGCTCACAGTCTATTTCCGTTAGTGGTGACCTAGGACACAGACTCCCAGTTGTCCCTAAGGCTCTCTGCCAACACACAGATCAAGAGCAGTTACCTGCCGGCTGCTCCGGGGGAGTCGTGCTAGCCTCACACCTGACATGTCGAACAATCTCACTTGTCGGTTGTCATGCGGGAGGGCAATAATTTTTTGGCCAACGCATACATTGATCCTGCAAAGAAGAGATAAAAGGGGGTTACATACAAAGCGGTGACAGCACGCGTGTCTGAATTTACAGAGCATCACGCAGTAGGAGACGCCACACCATTCACATTTCCAAGCAAAACACATGGGCAAACCGCAGGTATCAGCCGTCGGCAGCATCGGAACGCAGAGACCACATGGCTGACATGTAACATGCACACGCCACATAGCGGCTCAAACACAGCCCATTCCCGGCCCACGAAGCTCACTTCACCAGCCGGATTTTATACTTACACTTCAGCATACAGGAGATACGAAAATATGCATTAGAGGATCAATAAAAAATACTACCCCCAAAACACACTTCCCCAGAAGTCGAAGCTGCTGTTCCAAGGATCTATTAAACACTAACTTAATGTGGACAAGACAGCACATTGTAACCCACCCTCTCAACGCACGACAAACAGCTCCCTTCACCTGTTGATGGCGGAGTCTGTGCGGATCGTCGCAATGGGGGATCTCATGTTCCTTAAGTCCCAGACCTTCACGGTGCGGTCATCACTGCCCGAAACAACATTATCTCCCACGGTGAACACAGCAGAGGTCACGGTGCTGCAAGGAAAGGGTGCAGGGTCAGAAGATCATCAGGAAGTCCCAGGGGGCAGACACAAGGCCTCTCCACCGTGGGATGAGCACATGGGCTCGCTGCCAGAGACCCTGACGCGGCAGGAAGGAAGGAGACTGGAGACACGGAAGCCGACGGCTGTCTCTGCTAACTGCTCCTCCTGCTGAAACCTCTCTGTAAGAGTAAACGTAAGCACACCCAGCTTCTCAGCACACGAGAAAATCAGTCCGTTCTATTCTGTTCCACCTTCTCAGGCAATGGAGTGAAGAGAAGCTACCAGAAGACATGGATTACACAGAACCTGCCAAACGTCTATATACTCACACCTGATACCAGAAGATTAAGGAAAAAATCCATGCCAACTTTCAGTTTAACCAGAACACTGGTGAAAAACTTATTCCTTTAACTCAACCACCACCACTACCACCAGCTTAAAAATGTGCAAAGAGGGGCACTTGGGTGTCTCAGTCGGTTAAGCGTCCGACTCTTAGTTTTAGCTCAGGTCATGATCTCAGGGTCCTGGGATCCGGCCCGCATTGGGCTCCACACTCAGCGGAGAGTCTGCAAGAGATTGTTGCATATTCTCTCTCCCTCTCCCTCTGCTCTTCCCCCATTTAACACATGCACTCTCTCTTTTCTTCCTAAAATAAATAAATAAATCTAAAAAAAAAAAAAAGTGGGGCGCCTGGGTGGCTCAGTCGGTTAAGCGTCTGCCTTCAGCTCAGTCATGATCCCAGGGTCCTGGGATCGAGCCCCGCATCGGGCTCCCTGCTCCATGGGAAGCCTGCTTCTCCCTCTCCCACTTTCCCTGCTTGTGTTCCCTCTCTCACTGTGTCTTTGTCAAATAAATAAATAAAATCTTAAAAAAAAAAAAAAGTGCAAAGAACTTAAATAGACCTTTCTCCAAGGAAGATTTATGAATGCCCAAAAAGCCCATGAAAAGACAAATTACTGATCATCAGGGAAATGCAAACGAAAACCACGGGATCCCACCTCACACCCACTAGAAGGCCTACTCATCAAAACAAACAAACAACAACAAAAAAAACCAGAACACAAGCACTGGTGAGGACGTGGAGAAAGGAACCTCCTACACTGTTGGTGGGAATGCAAGCTGGTGCAGCCACTCTGGAAACCAGTATGGAGGTTCCTCAAGAAGTTAAAAATGGAGCTACCTACCATTGGGCATATATCCTGCAGAAATGAAGTCAGTACCTTGAAGAGCTACGTGCGCTCCCATGTTCACTGCAGCACGACTCACAGTAGCCAAGACACAGGAGCCACCTAAGCGGCTGTCCACAGATGAATGGACAGAGAAGATGTGGTGTCTGTATAAACAAGGATTTTATTGAGCCATAAAAAAGAAGGAAATCCTGCTATTTGTCACACATGGACAAATGTGGAGGTCACTGAGACCTGAGAGGGACCCACGTGTGACGCACCGAGAACGGGGAGGGGAGGAGGGCAAGCCCAGAACTTCAACCTGAAGACGCACCTGAACTCCCTCTTCCAAACACAAAGAGCAATGTGAGGGCTGGCCTGGAAACGAGGTTGCTGCGCCAGGTGCAGGGGCCACCACAAGCTCTAAGGACTTCAACCACAAACAGGGCTGTGCAGACGCCTGGGGCTTCTCCGTGGACTCTCGTCCTCAGGGGGTTGTGAGCATTCTGCTACATTAATGGAAAAAGTCTCCACATGAGACCGCCTCAGCTTACGTTAATGAAATGCTGAGAGCCATTAGATCTTTAACAAATCACAATCCTGACAGGTACTGTAGGGCATCAAAGGGAAAAGCTGGTGAGGGGGCAATCGTTCTAAAGGCACCCTCAGGTTCGGGTCCCATGGGGAAGCGGCTGAGCCACGACCGCTCACTGGAAAAGCTCAGACTGTGCCCAACTCCAGCCAACTCATTTATCTTGTCGCCGCGAGCAGCCGAGCATGTGCTTCCAGCTGACAGCGCGGTACCTTCTCACCGCACACCACTGCCCAGTCTGGAACATTCCGCTCCCTCCGTGGGTCTCAATCAACGGAAAGACTGTAATGCTAGCACTCCTCATTAGGACGAACAGCTGTCTTCCCAGTCACAGAGAGACACAAGACTGTTTTGCATAACAATCTGCCGGAATTTCACAGCTCAGAAAAAAAACACATGATGTGGAAAATGCTGAAGCACTGCACTTTCCCGGCCCCGCGTCAGAAACGGACTGCAGAGCTTCCCACAAACAAGTCCTACTTTTACACCAGAAGAACAGACCAGAGGAGCAAGCACTCTGGACACAGAGACGCCCGGGAAGCAGGGGCGCCCTCCCTCTCCACACACACACCAGAGCCCCCTTGGAAAAGCACATCCAGGGAGAGGTCAGTGTGGCTTTCTCACTCTGGTTTGTCAACCTGGCAAGTACGTGGCCACATTCACAGAAAAGGCCACGTTCAACACGTCCGTGGCCCACCCACGCCGGCACAACACACAGAGCAGGGCTCTCGGACCAGCCGACCAGACTCACTCACACACCTGCACGGAAGACGCGGACGGTGACTGCATCGTCACGTGACCACAGTCCTCTCTGACCACCACTTCCCAGTATGTTCCACCAACTACACTTGTAACCGACGAAACAAGTCTCCAGGCAGCCACACTAACACGGAGGGGCCCAGAGAGGGCACTCGCCTCGGCCCTTCCCGCCCCGGGTGCCTCTCAGAGCGCCAATGGCGCATGGTGGCCTGGGTCTTCAGATCTCAGGCACCTGAATGAGAAAACAAAAACTCTTCTCCAGACAAAACACACTTCTGAACACTGCTCCGTGGCTAACTCTCACAAAAGCAGGCCCTGAGATAAAAGACATTCAAAGGAAAAGTTACACTGTGTCACATGTGATTCTTTTTCAGGATTTAAATCTGAAGCACTCCCTGGAAAAAAGTTACAGCAGCAGGAGCTCAATATTCCAGGCTGGTTACACTGCTCTCTGAACCTCCCTCTGAGGCATAACGGACAGACGCCCCATCTGCGCCACCGACAGGAGCGAACGACAGAACCGCTCGCTCCCCAGGGTTCTAGTCCCCACGATGGGCCAGGCCTGCTTCGTGTGAGAGCGCACGCCACCACGAAGAACATACACAGCACACATCTCGGCGGGGCGGCGACAGTCCTCGCTCTGACGGCACACGTGCAGTTCTCAGGCAGCAGGGAGCGTGACAGGCCGCTGAGACCTGCTGCGGCGAAGACCTATGCCGAGGCTTCAGAGAAGCTTCCACCATCACCAGGGTCAACCCCCCCACACCCGGGAGATGGCTCCTGAGTGGCTTCAGGAATGTGTCAAACAACACTTAGTTTACCTGGCTAAATCCTCCTCCTTGGCATTTGATTAACTGAATTAAGAAGGTTATTCAAAGAGGGTAATTCCACACAACCTGATTTAAAAGGGAAACAGAAAAGTTAAATTTAGTAAGATTTACACAGGGTAACTTCATGCTTGTAATAGGAAGGGTCAAGGCTCTGATTTCCTTTCTGTGAAGTCTGGTCACTGTTTCATTCTTCCTCTTTTTTTTTCCCCCTTTCCTTCAAAGATTTTATTCATTCATTTGACAGAGAGCGAGCGAGAGCACAAGCAGGGGGAGTGGCAGAGGCAGAGGGAGAAGCCGACCCCTCGCTGAGCAGGGAGCCCGATGCGGGGCTCGATCCCAGGACCCTGAGGATCATGACCTGAGCCGAAGGCAGAAGCTTAACCGACTGAGCCCCCCAGGTGTCCGTTTCACTCTTCTTAAACAGTGTTAACAGCCAACCATAAATAAGTTTTGAATATTTGCAGTTATATCAACTGTGGCAAAATCGGAGGAATGTACTCCATTTAAATGAGGTAAAGAATGATCTCCCTCAGGTTTTAACAAGCTGTTCATTCCCTTGGTTTCTGAACGTAACTTCGCTGGTTACATGCTAATCAACTCACAGCCAATGTCCCAATATCACCGTTACGTGATTCTGTGTATAAAAACTGGGAAATGAAGAATTTAAAAGGATTCGTTTATTTAAATCTTTCAAAAGGAAAACTTTTACAACCACTTTGAAAGTAAGAGGATATAGACAAGCCCTACTCATCAGAATAATCAGGAAAATTAAAGTCAGAAATGTATTAGGAGCCATTAAGATTTTTACTCTCAAATACATTAGGAGATTAGCCAAAAACTGCATCAAAGAAAGATCTGGTGCTTTCCTGAAGACATCCCAGACGGCAGCAAGCCCAACCCTGGGTCCGCGGTGACCTGCCATACACACAGGAAGGTCCCTCTTCTTCACTGGTTATGGGAGAGGTTGACCTAGACGTCCCTCGTGCTGGAGTGGGGGTGACGGCCCCTAAACACTGAACTGCAGGTGCCAGGGGCCCTCATGGCCCGAGGACTGCGTGCAAATGTGCTTCAGAACCGGGAGTGTGCATGCACCTGGCCAAACTGGCACGGGCTACATGGAAGATGACGTGTGACGTGCAGATATGTGCACACGGATGTGCCAGCATGCCCATGAGAAGGGGCGCTGGCTGCATGGAACATGGAATACGTGTGCCAGTATGCATTATTAAACAAGCCAGAACCAAGCTCACACCGACACTGAAGGGGCTGCTACCTCAGCCACTCTGACGAACAAGTGTCCTGTAATCAGGGTTTTGATTTGCTCACTGAAGGAGCCTGAGGAGACAAGAAACACTTGGCACCAGGGAGCACCCATGGCTCCCACACCCAAGCAAGGACAGCGACAGAAAACCCCAGGTCATGCTGAAAGGTCAGAGTTAGCTATCATCAGTCTTCTGACTCCCCATCTCCTTATTCACGTGGGAGACTGACCCGAGCGACAGGCACCTTCTGTGCCTGATCATCTGAGGACTGACTCTCTGGGGGTCCTGGTGCTCACGGGCCCAACAGGACAGGCGCTGCCCTGGACTGGGGACCACAGCCGCCTCTACTCACCAGTCACGTGAGCTGTCACAATCACAGGGGT